TGTGCCCTTCAAAATCTTGCTCAGAAATCTTCTCAGCTACCTATTCATCACTTACTACAAGTTCTCCCTTCCCTCAAACACTTCAGCATAATTCAGACATCTTCTTTGCCACTATATAGAAAGCATCACTCTACTTCCATGAACTGATCATATGTTCATCATTTTCTTTTAAAGCACCACCATAAAGACACTTAATATCCACGTTTCTACTATCAGTCTGTTGCTGGTGACACACGTAGCCTCTGAGATGACAAAGACTCTACAGTTATCCACACATCTTTCAGAGCCTCACCAGAATTGCCTTTGGTGTCCATAATTCTACAGACAGACTCTGGAAGGCAATCTAGCCTTTTACTGGTAGATGCATTAAAACTCTCCCTGTCTGTACTCATTACTCAATTCCAAAACCATTCCAGCATTTTATATATGTATAGCAGAGCAGCACTCCCCGCTTCCGGTACTAAGCCCTGTCTTAGATATCTAGTGCTGCTATAACAGACATACCACAGGGGGTGGCTTTAATGAACAAAACTTTATTTTCTCACAGTTCAGTAGGTTGGAAGTCCAAATTCAGAGTGTTAGCTATAGAGAAAGGCTTTCTCTCTCTATTGGTCCGGAGAAGGGTCCTTGTTTCCTGGTCCCTGGTATACTTGTTATCTCTCACCATATCTCTCTTTGCTCACTTGTTTAATAATTTTTTTTATAAGAGAAGCATATGATTTATTCTAAACAGTTATTTCTATATGCATCTGAGATCAATTGGATTTCAAAGAGCAAATGGCTGGCTAGAGGTAGGTTGATTACAATGTAGCTTATAACAAGATGAGGAAGAAGAAGAAACAAAGATCAACCATTGGGTAACCTTAGGTGCTTGAGCCCTGTCTTGCCTTTCTTTTACTGAGATCAACTGATATCAAGTCACATGGTGGTCTCCAGCCTGTCTACTAAATATTAAATATTTTGCTTTCTATCTATCTACATGAAGCCTTGAGACTTTAATCCCAGAACACTTGATTGTGCTTATGAAAAACCTATACTTGGACCAGGAGGCAGTTGTCAGAACAAAGCAAGGAAACACGGCATGGTTCAAAATGGGAAAGGATGTACCTTTTCACTCTATATGCAGAACAGATTATCCAGGAGTCTGAGGAAGATTCATCAACAACCTGCATTATGCAGATGATACAACCTTGCTTGCTGAAACTGAGGAGGAACTGAGGTATTTGCTGCAGAAGGTCAAGGACTGCAGACTTTAATATGGATTGAAGCTCAACATCAAGAAAACAAAGATTCTCACCACTGGGATGAGATTTTTAACAGCTTCAGTTAGCTTGGCTCCACAATCAACACTCTTGGTACCAGCAGCAAGGAAATCAGAAGATGAATTGCATTGGGAAAGTGGGCTGTCAGGGACCTCTCCAGAGTTCTGAAGAGCAATGATGCTATTCTGGAGACTAAGGCGTGCCTGGTCCAGGACATAGTCGTCGCAATTGCTTGCTATGCATCAGAAAGCTGGGTGATGACTAGGGATGATAGAAGTAGAACTGATGCCTTTGAGCTGTGGTGCTGGAGAAGAATGCTGATTATACCATGAACTGCTAGAACAAACAGGTTCATCCTAGAGAGGGTAAAACCAGGCTGCTTCTTGAAGGCAAGGATTCTGGAGCTTTGTCTGACATATTTTGGGCATGTTGCAAGGAGGGACCAGTCCCTGGAGAAGGATGTCATGGATGGGAAGGTAGAGGGACAGCGCAAGAGGGGAAGACAGACCCTTGATGAGATGGATTAATTCAGTGACTGGGGTACGGGGGTTGGTGTGTGTCAGAGACAAGTTGGCACAGGATAGATCAGGGTTCAGAGCTGTTGTACATAGGGTGGCTATAGCTATGTGTTGCAAGCAACTCTATGGCACACAACAACAACAACACACCTAAAATCTTTTTCATTAAATCATGAGGTAATGGTTTTGCCATTGATAGAGAGCAACTTCAGGCAGGGTGGCTATAAAAATATTTGCCTTTACAGTTTAGGTCTGACTTTTTTTTTTTACAGTTAATATTCATTTTTATTTTGGTTTTTATTACAATTAGCCTGTCTCAAGCCATTATTTTGGTTTTTTTTAAATTGTGATTTGAGTGAAAATTTACAAAGCTGATTGTTTTCCCGCTAAACCATTAATATACATTTTATTTTACAACACTAATTACAACACACAATATAACCTCTATGTTCCCACTCTATCCCTGTGATTCTTATTTCCATTAATCTTTCTATACTATCCTTTCCTCCTAAGCTGTATCTTTGGGCAAATACTGCCTTTTGACTTTCCTATCTTTTCCATCTCAAACAAGCTTGAAGAGCAGCATGTACTAACTGCCTCGTTAGCATAACAAAGACAATCCATTCTCAAATTCATTTGTAACCACAAGTATAGCAAGGAAGAACGCAGTTTACCCTGTAAGAAGGGCCAAGGAAATGGCATGTGAGCCCTCAAGCGAGAGAAAGAAAACACATTCAGAAGTACAGTTCAGACCTCAGGACAGACAAGCAGAGCTGAAGTAGCAGTACTAGAGGCAAGGGAGAACCTGCAGGGTGGTGTAGAAGTGCAGCACCAGAGAGACACAGGGGGTGGGAGTTTGAATAGATGGACAGGCATAGACTGTAATGTGAAGTGGAGCAAAAGGTAGGCAGGGAGGAGGAAACCAGAGAGGACTAGGACAGGGTTGGGTTTGTGGGGTCTCATAGTTACCTGGATAGAGAGACCTAGACTTAAGACATGGGGAAGTTAATGGTTGTGGAGTAGAAGGGAAAGGGTGGTTAGAAGTGGAACAAACACTGGTAATTTACTGTCCACACAGAGCTCCCCTTCTTGGTCTTTGTCTATTAGGTTCCAACTCATAGTGACCACCAAGCCCAAACACAACAGAATGAATCCCAGCTCAGTCCTCTGCTGTCCTGGCAGTGTTGGGGTCCTGGAGCCCACTGCCGCAGTCACTGGATCAATCCATGCTATTGACAGTCTTTTTCTTTTTCACAAATGCTCTGCTTTACCAAGCATGACATCCTTCTTTAGGGACTTGTCCCCTTGATAACATGCCCAAAGTGCGTGAGATGGACTTTCACCACCCTCTCAGCTAATGAGCTTTCTGGCTATATTTCTTCCAAGACAGATTTATTCGTTCTTCTAGTCGTTCATGGCATACTTAGTATTTTTTGCCAACCATAATTAAAAGGCAATTATTCTTCAGTATTCCTTATTTGTTGACCAGTCATTATATGCATAGAAGGTAACTAAAAATGCCATGGCATAGGTCAGGAATACCTCGGTCCTCAAGGTGACATCAGAGATGGTAGGAAAAGCAGAGGTCATGCTCCTCCCTGCACCAGATCTCATTTCATCTAGGAGGTACATTGTTGTTCTGTGCCGTTGAGTTGGAACCATCTCATAGCTGACCCTTCAGCTAGTTTTCAGGGCCTGTAAGTCACACAAGAGGAAATTTCCCATCTTTCTCCCTCAGAGCAGCTGGTAGATTCAAACCACCTGCCTTTGGGTTAACAGCTCAACTCCTTATCCACTGTTATTGTTATGTGCCATTGAGTCAGCTACAACTCACAGCAACCCTGTGAACAAAAGCTCTGAATCTTTTCCTAACCTGAGCTAACCTCACCGTCTCCAACACATTTGACCCCATTGCCACAGTAACTGGGCCAATCCAACTCATCATGGGTCTACCTCTCTTGCGCTGGCCTTTCACCCTTTCAAGCATGATATCTACTAGGCCACCAGAAATCTAGTAATCTCCAATTCTTTACCACCAGCCCCTTGGAGCCATCAGAGACATTCTAGTAGGAGAGTTTCCAGTTGATAAATGGCATATGCTTTGTTGTCTTCAAAGATTTTTTTACCACCATTAACGGGTGTGTTCCATCAGTCTAGGACCAACAAAGATCTGCTGTTGTCCTTCTTAGGAAGCTGCTGCAGCTCAGAGTGGTTGTAAACCTGTGAAGGTCACACCACCTAGTAGGTGGCCAAGCAGGGACTTGAGCCCAGCTCTTGAGATTACAAACCCTACAGTGAATCTGCAGCAGCTCAGACGACAGGACCTGCTGGCAGCTGATTTCCAGCGACAAGACTGGGGAGGGGATGAATGAAGTGAGCTAAAGGAAGAGGAATGAGGGAGACAGAAGCAGGAGTGATGAAGGCTGAAGAAGAGGCAGGAAGAGAGAATAGAGGAGGAGGTAGAAAGCCTTTTAAGAAAGAACTAGAAGGAATTCTTGTTAGCGACCACATATAGCAGTTCTGAATCCTGCTCTATCTTGAGCCCATTTCGTTGTCTCTGACATACCCGACTATGTCTCCAGACATGGTAATGAGTGTTGTTCCCATCTTACATGTGAGAAAACTGAGGAGAGGAATGGTGCCTTCACAGCCTACCCAAAGGACCCTAAGAACTTAGGGCCCAGGAGCAAGGCCCTTAGGGCCTTGTGTAAAGCCAGGCAGGGTAGACAGACGTCAGTGCCTTTCCCCACTATACAGTGGATGATGAAACAGAGATGAGAAAGAGGTGATAGAGAAATCAGGACCACATCCAAAGTAGGGAGTTTAAAAAAAAAAAATAAATGCTGCATGGATCGAGCCTGCCAGTTGCAGAGATGGAGAGAGAGATAAGGCCGTCACTGGCTCGGTTACCCAGCAGGCAGCATCAGCCGGTCCGGTGTCACAGCGCCTCCTGCGTCTCCTCCCGCCCCCGCGGACACGTCCACTTGGGTTGCTCCACAGCGCACAGCTCTGCTCTCCCGCCGGGGTGGGGGAGCGGGGACCCAAGGGGGTGGCGGTGAATGCGCCTCCTCCACCGGTGCTCGTGAATTCGCAGCGTCCTCCGCAGCATCCTCCAGGCCCGGCCCCCTTGCCTGCGTCCCCCCCGCGCCTGGATGGTATGCTCCCGCCTGCCTGGCTCAGCTGCAGTGGATGTTGCTAGAATCCACGCGGAAGAAAGAAGAGACGCAGGCAGGCTGCGGTGACCTAAGCGGCCACCCCTGCCTCAGGGACCCCTTCCCCGAGAGACGGCACCATGACCCAGGGAAAGGTACGGGCATCTCCCCCGCCTGCACCATCCTCCATCCTCCGGCTCCCTGCTTCCCTGCCATCCTAAGCAGGCTCTCTGGACCACTCTAACCATCCTCCCCTCGCTCTTATGAGAATGATCCTCAGTGGACCTTGTCCAAGTCAGCCGACTAAGAGGTCCAATTTCAAGGAATGGCCCAGGGCCCCTTTCCACCCAAGAGGCTCACCGCATCGTCAGGCATTCCCGTCTCCATTCCATCCCAAGCTTCAGCATCATGGGACCCTTCACAGGCACCCAGCTCCCCTTTAAGGAGTGAGTCTGGCTGACCGTGTGTGGGTGTGTGGATGGGTGTGTATGTGTGGGTGTATGCTTGGTGAGCTCTGAGGGACAATGCCTACATGGCATCCTCCTCTCCTCCAACCCTTCCAAACCCAACCACTTCGTGCTCATTTTTCACATCCCTCACAAAAACACTCTCCACCGTTCCAACCAGTCATTCCACATCTGGACACGACCTCTGTGGTTGGAGGTTACTATGGCAACCCTGCATCAGGATACTTTTAATTTTTGCTTTGCTTTTGGCTGGGACATGGGACTGAATAAGAATGGATAAAACCTCCCTATTTTTTCCCAGTTTTAGGCCTGAATTGGAAGGGGGAGGGGGGCTTGGGCAGAGACTTGGCTGGCCTAATAGGGTTATGTAACATCAACAGCCTGTGGAATTACACAACCACCACCAGGTCTGGGGGCAAAGAAGGAGGGTCTTCTGGACCGCTGTTTGGGGGTGCCGAGGATTGGGCAGAGAAACCAATAGAGGGACCTCCCCTACACTCCCCCTTCTTTTCTCCAAGATGAACCTCAGAGCCAATGGCATCTTTGCTAGGTCTTCAGACCCTCCTCCCCTATTTTTAAGCTCATCAGGCCTGAAAATGATGTCATTGGGTGATGCTGCCTCCTACCATTGGTCAGGCCTTACTTAGAAATGCCAGATATGGGGAGGGGGCAAGAATCTGGAGGCTCCAGGTAGGGGCTTGTGAGGAGGGCTAGTTCTGGACAAGGGTGATCTTCCTTTTCCCAGCCTCAGTGATGGGAACAGAGAGCCTCCTGGTAGGCCTGGATCTGTGGGCAGGGCTGGGCTGGGTTGCCCTGGGTGTGCCCATGAGGCTTTAAGGAGGTTGGGGAGGGGAAGGAAGGTGAGGAGCCAGGGCCTCATTCCCCCAGCTTGGGCTCTGGGTGCCTTCTTCACAAAGACCTGTAAGTGTTCACTGTGGTGAAAATGGAGGACTGATACCCTCCCCCCCCCATCTTCTTCTTCCACCCCTACCCTCCACCCACCAGTTGCTTTGCTAATGCTGCTTCTTGTTTTTGGGTGAATGCATTCATTCTGTCCCTCACCCCAGCCTGCCAGGCCCAGCTCACACACTTTCTAGGGGATGGAAAAGACTCATCCAGTTCAAAGGACCCAAGACTAAAAGGAAGCCAGAGACTAACTGGTCCTCGCCTGTCTCTGGGCTACCTCAGAATTGACCCTCAAAAAATTGTACAGACTTCTCAATGACTCCCTAGGGTTTCAATTGATCTTTTGGAAATGAGATTTAATTCCCATGTCATAAGGTTCTGCTTTTTTGTTGCTGTTTCTGTTTTCATACCACCCAACCACCCCAATCTCCCTTTCTTCAACTGTACCATCCAGACCCTCAGAGCTTATATACTCTCACCAAAGCTAAAGATCGACCCTATGGGCTGGGGACACATCTCACTACAAAAATATTTGAACCTGGAGCTCTGGTGGCGTAGTGGCAAGAAGCTGTGCTGCAATCCTGAAGGCACATGGTTTGAACCCACCAGGTGCTCTGCTGGAGAAAGAGAGGCAATCTCTTCCTGTGCCAGTCAGATCCGATTGAATGGCACAAAACAAACAACAACCAAAAAAAAAGAGAGAGAGAGAGAGAGAGAAAGAAAAATATTTGAACTTGAAATTGGCACTGTTGGCTCTGTAAGATGAAGGAAAGGACTGCACTAGATGCCTTCAGGGGTCCCTGCAGTGATGGTGATTTGGTTCTGGATTTAGTAGGATAAGGCCAGACCATGTCCTTAGCTAGGGACCTCTACTCCATATTCCCTATTCCTCTACCTCTGTTCTCTTTTCTCTTCCCTTTTTAACTCCCTGTTCTCCCATTCCCCATCCTTCCCCACTCCCATACCATGTCCAGCCCAATTGGAGAAGCCCAGGCAAACTGGAAGTTGCCAAGCTCAGCAGTCCCATGGGCCTGAATGGATGATCCTGGATGAGTCATTTCTCTCCAATCCTCAGTTCCCTCAATAAAAGCACCAGCCAATGTGTGCCTTATTGCCTCCATGGACACTCCATGGACTCCTTTGCCATGAGACCAGAAGAACTGGATGGTGCTTATCTACCATCTCTGAAAGTTTTGCTCAAAGATTCTATAGGAGAATCCTGTCAAAAGGAGAAAATTCAGAAAAGAATTTAAAATTCTTATGGAATCTAGATTTTTCTGGTGCCTTAAAGGCTAGATGAAACCCTTAAGCTATTGTCTTGAGATAATCTTTAAACCTTATTCCAGAAATATCCCCTGAAGTCTTTTTAAAAACACATAGAAGTTTAACTTAACTACTAAAGATCTATCTTAGTATTTTTCTCTTTAAGAACCATCTACAATATTGTTGTGTGCCATCGCATTGTGAACTGACTCATAGCTGACCCTCCAGTGGGTTTTCAGAAGGAATAAATCACAAGAAAGGAGGTTGCCCATCCTCGTGCAGAGCAACTGTGGATTTGAACCACACGCCTTTGGGACTGCAGTGCAGTTTCTTACCACTAGGCCACCAGCGCTCCCTTAGAACTATCTATGTTGTTGTGTGCTGAGTCAGAAGTAACCCACAGCTGACCCTCCAGCAGATTTTCAGAGGCAATTAATCACGTACATTATCCATCCAGCAAAACATCTGGGTTCAAAATGCCAGAAACAATTCAAAAGACTAGGTATGAAACTTAGGGGACAGTAACTTCATTGTAGTGAAGGAAGAACAACTCAGAAAAGGAGGATACAAGTTATTTCACCACCTGAAGCAATGTCACTGAATGACACACAAGTTGTTGATCTTTCTTTTGTTGTGTGTTCTCAACACCACCAACAAACAAAAAACTTACCACAAAACCAATCACTCGTCAAAACATGATTAATGGGGTAACAGGGAGATTAAATGTGAAAACCTTTCATTCAGTAGTATTTTCGAGGGCTCACTTTGTGCTAACAAGTTCTGGTTGTTTAGCGGTAAAGAATTGCACTACCAATGCAAAAGCACGGGGTTTGAATCCACTAATTGCTGTCATGGAGGAAGATGGGAAATATCCTCTCTGGTGATTTACAATCTCTGAAATCCCACTGGATAGTCAACTATGAGTCCGTTTTGACTTGATGGTATGTAATAGCAACAACTATGTGCTAGGCAATTTCCTAGAGCACAGGGTAACAGCAGAACTAAGCAGGCCAGATCCATGCTCTAGCATTGAACTTGCAAAGACAATGACTGCTGATGGTGGGCACTGCTCTGAACGTTCTTCTTCCTCAGTTCATATCCAGGCTCCTCTGTGTGCCCAGCCCCAAACTTCCTGGGGCTCAGTTCTTCTGTCTTTAAAATAGAAAATTTCTTTTTTTTTTTTATTATTAAAAAAAAAGGAAATTTCTTGTCTGCCCCTCTTTTCTCTTAGCGCAGGTGAGAAGTATCCAAGAAGGTTTCAGGCTTTGAGGGGCTGGTGAAGAAGGGTTCAAAGGTTCCCTTTCCCTGGTGACCATCTCTCTCTGCCTCTACTCCACAGCTTTCCGTGGCTAACAAGGCCCCCGGGACTGAGGGGCAGCAGCAGGCGAATGGCGAGAAAAAGGAGGCTCCAGCAGTACCATCAGCTCCGCCCTCCTATGAGGAGGCCACCTCTGCAGAGGGGCTGAAGACAGGGACCTTCCCCCCAGCCCCCATGGCTATGCCTCTCCATCCCAGCTGGGCCTATGTGGACCCTAGTAAGTCTTGAAGTTCCAGGACCCTAAGCATCGGGATGAGTGATGGGACCAGAGAGAAAAGCTGGTGCAGGAGGAAGCTGCCCAGAGGAGATGCCCTTGTGGTTGTTATATTCTCTATTGTCAAAAGTTTGCCATTTACAGGTCTCTTCTCAGGGTAATCATAAAAGATTCCTTAAAAAGAGAGTGATCCAGTATCTACAATCAGTATGCTCTCAGATGGAGAAGAGGGCTTTTCCCCAAGTCATTTAAGCTAGGGAAAATGGAGGAGTTAGAAGGGTGAAAATAAAGAGTCCAGTCTAGACAGGACCTTGCAGAAAAGGGATAGGTAAAAAGTCAGAGTCAAGGCAGGAAGGAGCAGTATGAGGTAGACCTGGGGGCTGCCTCCCATGGACCCACCCTGTGAGAGAACATGTGATGTTTTATACATTGACTGGTCTGAAGCCTTTAGACTCTCTGCCCTCCGTGAGGTCCCAAAGGTGAGGAGAGAACCACGGAGGCTTCAAAGTTGACGAGGACCAGGGCATGGGGACTAGTCATGTCTTGTGCCTCTTCCCTTCCCCAGGCCTTTGCTGGGGTGAGGAGGGCAAGACGTGAAGGAGGTGTACGGATACCAGAGTCCATCACAGACAATAATTTATAACAGACTCATGAGCTGTGAGTCTCTTACATCCAAGGACCTCAGCTGGTGGGAGCTCCTCTGTCAGGTTGAGCTGCCTGCGAGGAGCTTGGCCTCAGGGCTGGGGACATACAGTTTTAAAGGAGTCTTCTCACATGAGTCTTCCTCAGACTTTCCAGCCTCGCTCAGCAGTCCTCAAGCTGCCCCTTTCCTTATTCTGTTAAGCCTCCCACCACCACCAATGGCAAGATTCTAGATGGAATCTGAGAGACAATGCTCCAGCCAGAGGCTCTGCTCACAGGGACTGGCCACCATGGCCCACTCTTCTTCTTACAGACCTCCTGTCCACGCTTATTACCGACCTCTTCCGCCTCGTTACTATCCCTATCGGAAGAGCAACAAAGGTCTGGCATTCTTAGGAGCCCTTCTAAGTCCACAGGATTGCTTTCCCTCTTTTCATCCTTCTCCATGGCCTGTCCACTGGGCTTTTGGCTGTGGAGACAGAAAAGAGGTTGAGGGGCTCCTGGCCTCAAGCTTGCAGTAGGCCCACTTCTCTCTCACTCTCTCTTCCTTTCTCTCTCTCTCTCTCTCATTTGTATCTTGGCTGCCTTCATACATGTTTTCCAAGGAACTATTGACACAGGAAGAAACTCAACAGTCTACAAACATTTGCTCTGTGTGCACAATGTCTGGCACTGACTGAACTTTAGAGAATGCCTCGAATTTCAAGCACTGCCATAATCTTTGTCCTCACAGAGCTGACTGTGTACATGGCTACAATACAGTGAAATTTATGTGGTAAATAGAGACGTGGGCAGCTCGCTGACCTCTAATAATCAGGGGAGGTTTCCTAGAAGAGGGGGTGTCCACGTTGAGGCCTGAAGGATGAGCAGAGTTGTCTGCTGAATGGGATCCCAGAGGCAAGAGAATGTGTGGCTAGACATTCAGGCTAGAGAAAAGTCGGGAGGTAAGGGGATAATGTGCAGTGAATTGGGTGGGCCCTGTTCACACCAGGCCATGGAAGCTTTGATTAGAAATGTGAAGTTGACTGACTGAAGGCAATGGGGAGTCATTCAGGTGCTGTAAGCAGGGAAGTGCTGTGGTCTGTTCTTGTTTCAAAGACTAAGAACGAGGCTATTGTGGTGCAGACCTGAGATCATGGGGAGCTGAGAGGGAGAGTGGACACATGTGAGGACTCGAGAATGTGGAGAAGGGCAGCATACTCCCATCAGGCACAGAGCCGTGCGTTCTCATTGTTATCTCATTTGGCCTGCCTGAGGTAGGGACCACCGAGCATGGCATAGGAAAAAAGATTCAGCGTTCAAGTTCACACAGCTGGTAAATCCACACTCTTGTTTCTCACTGTGGAACCCTTGTTCTTCTGAAAGCCTGAGGCCCAAGACCAAGCATTCATCCCACCCATTTCTTATCCCTGTCCTGCCTTTATTTCCCCTCCCAGGCCTCCCTGAAGTCCTGATTCCTAATTGGAGCATCAGCAGATCTGCCTTCCACCCACAGTTCCACGTCCAATTAAGACCTATTCCCCACCCAAAGATCCTCAAAGTGGGTGGGGGTCAGGACCTTCACCCCACTGGATGTGCTACTGGATGACCCAGGAAGAGTAGATATCCCTCTCTGATCCTGGACTCCCACCACAAGGGAGCCAGTGTCCAGAAAGATGGGGTGAGGAATCAGATGGAAGGGTCACATTTGTATGGCAGTTTGGCCCCTGGGAGTCCTGGAACGAAGCAAGAACTAAGTAGTAGTCAGAGCCCAATCTGCAACTAAGATGGTTTGGGGACTTGAGGATGGGGTTGAGGGAAAGGGCTTCAGCAGATCCAGAGAGCCAGTTTGACAACCAGACAGCATTGAATCGGCAATCTTTGGGGCAACTTTATGTGAGTGAGATGGCCCTCACACCCTTCCCCCTGTCCATCCCAGGCAACTACAACTATGAGAGCGGTTTCCCCTCAGGAGAAATCAGCTGGGATGACCAGAATGTCCGTCGAGTCTTCATCAGAAAGGTAACTTCCTCTCTCAGGTCTTTGGAATTGGGAGACTGGATTCGGGGCGGGGAGCCCTTTGAGCCCTCTGCCTGTTTAAGGGTCATCCCTCTGCCCTCTTGTTTAATCCCAACTAGCAGCACGGACAGGGAGATGCCTCCTGGGTTTCCATTGGCCATTATACACTGTTGCAGTCTAAGTACATTGTTCCTTCTTTCTGAACACCATGGGCTCCTCTCCTGGGGTGTGGGCTCTGGAGAGATCTTTTCTCCTCTTTTATCCTGGCTCAGGCCAGTAACTTTGAGAAAGAAGGTCTGAAGTGAGTGGAAGGAGCAGGGGTCAACCTGGCCTCTCAGGGCTCGGCAAGCTAAGCAGAAGCCCCTTCTGTACCCAGGTCTATACCATCCTGCTCATCCAGTTGCTGGTGACCGTGGGTGTTGTGGCTCTCTTTACCTTCTGGTGAGTTGAGGAGATGGACTGTCACCTTCTAGGGGTAGCAGTGACCAAGCACATGTGGGGGACCAGAACCAAACTTCTCTTGGTGTTACTTGTCTGAAGAAATCTGTGAAGTGGCACGTAAGAAATTGGGTAGTGGGCCAAGGTGGGGAATGTCAGTGCACAGGGGTCCTCCATCCAGAGTGGGCCCGAGGCCCAAGTGAACAGCAGGCATCTGCAGCAGTCTGTCCTCTCAGATCCACCCGCCCCACCGTAGGCAGGTCCAGGGGCCCCACAACCCCGGACTATGCTCTGGGGAGCCCCTGAGTCTCAGGACCTACCCTGCATTCCCACTTCTTTAATTTTCAATCTCTTGAACTGTGGAGGGGTGTGGGGCAGGGCACATGTTGAACTAGAGGATGATTTTTTACTCTCCCCCTCCCTTCTCTTCAGTGACCCTGTCAAGACCTATGTCCAGGCCAACCCCGGCTGGTACTGGGCGTCCTAGTAAGTATGCCCCGGACCTCCAGCTTCCTCCCACAGGGACCATCGTTCGCACAAGTGGGAGTTCATTGATAGACCCTAATATCATGACCTCCCCCAAACTTGTAGAGACTGTCTTCACAGATGCCCCAATTCTATTGACTACAGAGCATGTCCAGAGGATTGTTTTGGTGTGCTAAGATCTGATGGGGAAGGCGAAAATGGGGAGCAGGTTTTGATGCCTGCTCAAGGGAGGCAGGGTAGGGCTGGGCCCTGGCTGGAGAGACCTAGACATAGGCCCTGAGGGAAAGGGGGGGTTGGGACTCCTTGGCCCATATTAGTAATAATGTTGCTAGTCTTATTAATATTGTTATTATTAATGCATATGAATTACTAATCATAATAGCTGCCACTTACAGAGTGCCTAATAAGGGCTGGGCGCTGTTCTATGTGCTTGATGTACAGTATGATATTCTATCCTCAACTCTATGATTATCTCAAAAACCTGATGCTCAGAGAGGTTGAGTAACTTGCCCAAGGTCACACAGCGCGTCAGTGGTGGAGCTGGGATCTGAACCCAAGATTCAAGTTAAGACCTGTGCTCTTAATGCAGGTAGACTCCCTTCAGCCTATGGGCCATTTGACTCCTCTTTGCCCTATACTCTTTATGGCAGATACCCTCAGTGAAGACATGTAAAGGTGTGAGTGATTCTCACTCATCATGTCTGGGAAATTTGGGGGTCATTCTGGATCATTCCAAGCCAGAAGCACCTGGAGCTCAGAAGGGGTGGGTAGACAGCAGAAACGGGAAGGCATGAGCCCTGTGTACCAGGATACTTAGCCCTCTCTGTGTGCTCAACTCAGAAGACGGGCCAGAAGGACTTGGGGCAGAATCCCAGGCAGAGGAATGACAAAAGCATGACTATAGAAGTGAGGATAGAGGTATTATGATCAGCATGTTAAGGAAACTCCTTGGGGGAAGCCTGGAACATCTAGCAGTGCTGGGCAGCGGAGAGGGACACCTTAAATGGTGGAGATTATGAATGCCCAACCAAGGCTTTGCTAGACCTGTACTTGCAGAAGAGCTAGCAGAGAGGTAGACTCTGGAACACTAGAGTTGAGTTGACCCAGAGTGTGTCTGGAGTTAACACAAATTAGACAAAGGCTGACAGGAAGCGGACTCACCCTGGCCTCTGGGCTCCTGGGAGGAGCAGAGCTGACTAGTTCAAGTTCAGAGACAGCACGTGGATATGCTCAGAGCCTTTCTTCATGCGCAGGACAGAGGGCTGTCTGCAGACCAGGCAGGAAGGCATGTGCCTTGGGGAACTGGGAGGCACAGTATGGTAAATCTAATGAGCCCCCAGAGACCGTGCCAGGGCCAGCCCACATGGCAGGTTGGCATGGCTCCCAGCACGTCAGCACTGCCTGGCAGCCTGGGGCACCCCGTGAACTGGGGAACAGAATCCCTGGGCCCCTCTCCAGGCCTTCTGTGTAGGACCCATGCTTTGAGTAGAAGGTGGAGGGGGTACGGGAGAGGGGACAGAGAGCAGGGTAGGATATGGAGCCCCTCCTCCTCTCTCTGGCTCAAGGACTGGGGTACCTTCAGGTGTGGGAGTAGAGGAAGAAGGACTATCATCACTGTGGTTGGATGTGAACATGAATGGTGTGCTTTTCATGGGGTACCCAAAGTCTTCAAGGTACTGGAGAATTCCACAACCAAGATGGTGCCCTATCCCTCCAGGAAGCTTGCTGGGGGCTTTACCCCATCTCCTCCCCTCCCACTTCCTCCAGCACACCAAGTGTCTCTGAGGGTTCAGACTTTTAGAATAACAATAACAGCAATAAGAATAAAACAACTTTTTGTCTGTGCGAGGCATTTTGCTAAATAAGTTTCTCATTTACTCCTTATAACAGTCATCTGAGGCAGGTACATTAATATCTTTATTTTACGATGAGGAAACTGAGGCTCAGTGGAAGTTCTTGTTTCCTAAGCAGCAATAGCCACTATTGAAATGAGATCCTTCTGCTATAAAGACACTACAGGTACCCGCTGGGCTTTGCTGCCTGCCCCCTACCTGCCCCAGGACTGGCCCTGGAGCAGCACAAGGGTTTGGAAGCTGGCCTTCACCTGAGCCTCACCACCCACAACACAAGCTCTGTCAACAGACTGTGGCTGTGACCCAGGCTCTGATGTGCAAGTCAGTCTTTCACTTGTTCAGTGACTCATTCTCTGCCCCCTGAGATAGCAGCCTCCTCTCCTCCTTCTTTCTCAAAGCCTCAATCAGCTTCCTCAGTGGGTTTCCACCTTATTGTCTGATAATCCCTACTGAGCCACTGGCTGGAACTGCAGGCTTCCCTACAGGGAAGGAGTAAAAGCTGGGGTGCAGGATGAAAACAGGCAAAGTGTAAGTCCAGAGCTGGGCCCGAGGTGAACCAGAGTCTCTCCAGGAAGCTGTCAGTCAGGCAACTTCTAATTAGAATAACAGCTCCTGGGCCAGGCCCTGTGCAAAATATGCTTTGTCCTCACAATAGCCCAGTGAGTTGGTACTATTATGAGGAAACTGGGGCTCGGCAATTAGGTAACTTGCCCAAGGTCACACAATAGTAATGGCAGAGCTGGGACGTGAATACTGGCTGGTCTGGCCCTCAAGCCTGTGCTGACCTCTCGCTCTCCCCAATTCCCCTGTCTTTTGTCCTTCTCACTCTTCCTCCAACCCCTTGTCTGAAGATTGAGGAGGTGTGGACTAGAGAGAAAAGGAAACCAGGACCTTGCCTTCAAGAAGTTTTTGGTGGAGACAGGATGATAGAATCCTCACCCAGGACAGCACGTAGCCAAGAGTATTATTGTTATTATTCATGAAGTGACTTGAATGAGATCAGAAGAGAACTGATGCCAGAATATTTCTCAACTGGGGCCTATTGGCATGTTGAGTTGGACAATTTTATTGTCGCACACAGAACAGGATGCTTAGTCCTCTGTGCCCCAGCACTGGATACCAGCAGGACCCCCCACCCCCAATCACTATGATTCCCTCCATATTATTTGAACACCTTTGGAAAAAAATGAGAGTAGGAAAAGACTAAGATAGAGGGGTCTTATTCACCAAATAAAAGGGGCTTGGCTCAACTCCTCAGCACCCAGCTCTTTGCCATCACCCGACATTTATTTCACCCAGCAAAGATTTATAGAGTACCTACCAAGTACCAATGAGGCTCTGGTGGCCTACTAGTAAGAAGCTGTGCTGCAATTCCAAAGGCACGTGGTTCTAACCCACAAGCTGAAGAGTCAGCTATAGTTGGGTTACAAATCAGCAGTACACAACAATAACAACCACCAGACACCAAGGTCTCTGGATGGTACCAATGGTTTGTGTCAACTACTAAGTAAAAGGTTGACTGTTCAAACTTGCCCAGAGGCACTGTGGAAGAAAGGTCTGGTCATCTGCTTCCTTTACGATTGTTGTTGTCATGTGCTACTGATTCAGAACTGAATCTGAAAATGCTGGTTTCCAGAGGCTGTAAATCGCAAAGGGGAGATTGTCCATCTTTCTCTCATGGAGCAATTGGTTTATTTGTAACCTGCCCTTGTCAGTGTAGCTCCTTACCCATTAGGCCACCAGAACTCCCTTCCACAAAGATTACAAGCCGAGAAGATCCTTTAAGGCAGTTCTACTCTGTAGCGCATGGGGTCACTATTAGGATCAGCTTGACAGAAATGAATTTGATTGGATTTTTTAAAACCAGGTGTTGGGCACCAGGTTAGATGCTGGGAACATAAAATGAATGTCACAGGCTGATGACCACCCTGACACTCCACTTGGATAAGAAGTCAAATGAGCAGAGCAGCAACATATAGGGGTATGGGCTTCAAAGAAAGCCTCTAACCTAAACATTGGTGTCCCTGCCAACCTTTGCTTTCCATGCCAAAGCAGAGTGTAACAAGCACGCTGAAAAGATGCAGAGCGTGTTATGATGAGAAGTGTGGTCAGAGATGGGCTGGAGAGGGTGCGGGGGCCTGACTCATGCAGAGCATTGCCAGCTGTTTGGGAGTTCTAACATAGTGAAGTCATGTGATAAGATCTACCTATAGCTTGGCAGGTGGGAGGCAGGACTGGAGGTGAGAGAATAAGATGGGGCCATCTAAAGTGGGAATAGCAGGGATGAGGAGAAAGGGACGGCTTGGGTGGAAGAATAAACAGACCAGAGTAGGGTGAGAGTCAGGGAAAATGCTGAGGTCTCTGGTTGGGTGGTTGGCTAGATACATGAGGGCCTCTGTAATAGGGGGTGCAAGAGAAGAGGGGAGGGAAGGCAGAAAGTTCAGTTCTAACCTGTTGTATAACTATATAAGCTATATGAGTTTCTGAATAGTCAAGTTTGTAGGCAGTTGGATTTTCAGGCTTGGAGTTGAACAGAACTTAAGTTGGAAATATAAGTGTGAGTCCTGAGCATTTGCTTGATAAAAAAAGGAGTTATGTGAATGAGTGCTCCCACCTCTTGGGAGAGTGTGAAGAGAGAAGATCCAGCTCCCCCACTCACCCCACACACACCCCTGCTTTCTGCACTGAAGGAGCAAGGCTTATTAAGAGATGTCCTGGAGGACCCTAAGAAGGAGTGACGAAGAGGGTAGGAAGGTAGGAGGGAACCCAAGAGCATATCATGCCAGGACCAGGGGAAGCAGTGGGAGTGACTGAATGTTCAGAAGTCAGGTAAGTTAAGGAGTGACAAGCATCAGTTGAACTCACCAAGGTCACAGTGGCATGGCAAGATCACCTGGGCTTGGGGATGGATTTGCTAAGCTGAGACAAGAAAGAAGAACCCAGAAACAGAGGCAACTCTTTCCAGAAGCTTGGCTAGGATGGAAGATAATGGAAATCAGCAGGGATGTTTGTGTAAGAGGCCAGTGGAAAGACTGATGACATTAGAGACCAGCTTGTCAATTGAGGGCTTGAGTGCCAAATCCAGGTTAGGGGTTTGGCTGCCAAACCCAGGTAAAGGGGCTTGGCTGCCAAACCCAGGTAAAGGGGCTTGGCTAGAAGAGGAGGAGAGATAAGACAGCACGTGGATAGGATTCATGGAGGAGCCCCACCTCCTCATCTGGAATGTTTCTGGAACACTGCAGGTCAAGCCTTGCGAAAGACAGAGGCTGCTGGGAGGTTTGCAGGTGGAGGAAGAAGTTTGGCAGGCAGTGAGAGAACTGAGGAGGTAGAGGGGAGGATGGCAATGTCACGGGAACAGTCCACTACGGAGTGAAGACCAGGCACTAGTGGTCACCCCTATCTGGGTGGGCGTGGGCACATCCTATCATTGAGTCCTCAACCTTACCTGCTCCCTCCCACACTGACCTCAGCCGCCCCTGCTCTCTGGAAAATCTTCAGTCCACAGGCCCTATCCTCGGGCTGTCCCTGAGCGCCTGCCAGCTTCCCACTGGACACTGTCACTTGACCCAGCACTTAACCAGTACTTTGTGCTCCGTGCCAGATGCTGGCAGAACAGGCAGGCCCTGCCCTTGCTGAGCTTCTAGTCTAGTAGGGTGAGCCAACAACAAGTAAGTAACAAGGGAGTTACAGGCCAGGAGAAGTTCTGTGAGGGGTGTGAATGAAGTAGCGTAGGGTCAGGGTTGTAAGCCAGAAGTAGATACCAGGCCCTGGAGCTGCCTGAGTTGGGATGTCATCCTACCTCTCTGTGCCAGAACTCCAAGGGGAGAAGACCATGCAGTTGGCCTTCCACATCCATCCACAGAGTCAACCAATTATGGCTTGAAGATATAAAAACTTGAATTTGCTGCTCACCAAACACTCCCCTGATTCCACGTGAATGAAGTGATGTGCAGGCAGCCCCTGCTTTCATCTCTCCTCCCCTTTTCCCAAATACCCAGTCTTCCTCCAGCACTTGTTTGAGTAGCAATTAGCCTGACTCTCATTTGTTCTCTACTTGTGTGTGTGTCCTTTGTTTCTGTGGGGGGGGAAAAAGAAAAAAAGAAGCCTCCTAAAAAGCAATTAAGTGGTCAAAGCAATTCCTTGAAGGCGGAAGAGGGAGCTTCCAATTCTAATTCTATAACAAGTACATTGTATGTGGTATTATAAGTAATCAAGAGATGCTTTAAAATAGACAAACCATTAATATGCAAATACTATGCCATTTTACATAAGAGACTTGGATTTTGGTACCCGTGGGGGGTCCTAGAACAAATCCTCTATGAGTACTGAGGGACAACTGTACTTCACAGAGAAGATAAGAGGTTTAAATTAGTTAATATTTGCAAAGCACTCAGAGCTGTGTCTACCACACAGAAACACAAGTTTTCGTTTTAAGTAGTATTGTGTCTGGGGAGGCCACCCTGGTTTGAGGGGCTAGACAGCTTTCCCCAGCATCTGAGATTTAGTCTTTCTAGAGTTTCTAGAAGCATGTTATCCCCTTCCTCTCTTTTTTGGATTTGGACCACCACTCTGCCCACTGTCTGGATGACCACAGCTTTCTCCCCTTCTCCACTCTGTCCATCCTTCTGGCGGCCCTGTGAGCAGAGGTGGTGGAGTGGAATGCACACAGTGTTGGGGGTGGGGGTGGATGGAAAAGCTTCAGAAGGAACTGGCTGACACATTTTTTTCCTCCATCTCTCTCAGTGTTGTGTTCTTTGTGACCTATCTGACCCTGGCCTGCTGCTCTGGACCCAGGTATGATGATGGTTTGTGGGAACACATGAGCTCTTCCCGAGACCCTCCTGTCACCCATATGCTGTACCCCTGCAGGTCTGTCTAGCAAGCCTGCTTCTCAATTATTTGGCACCTCTGAGGTGGGAGGAAGGCAGACAAACAGACAAGGCCAGATAGAGGATATGGGGATGGGGCTGAAGGAAGAGGCTCTAATAAATAGTGGGGTCAGGTGGGGGGCATTTCCCCTGCGGCAGGGAGCAACCTGCAGCCTCTGGCACCTCCCACTCTCCTCTGAATCCTGCTTGTCTTACAGGAGACACTTCCCCTGGAACCTGATTCTCTTGACTGTCTTTGTAAGTGACTTTGGGGGGAGGTATATCAGGAGAAAGGGATGGGTGCAAGGGGCATGGAGGCCAGAACGGTGTCTCAGGGTGAAGGGACAGGTGCTGAGGATGAGGGTAGGACTTGCTGGTTCACAGCAAGCAAACAGACAGCGGACAGCGACAGGTAGGGTGTGTCAAGGGGAAGGGACAGATGCTAAAGGTGGGCTTTGAAAATCTGAGTCTGGGTAGTTAATTTGAAATCCCTGGGGCCAGGCATATTTTCATCCCACCCTACAAAGGGGGAGCCTTGGTGGCGCAGTGTTAAGATCTCGACCAATAGCTCAAACTCATCAGGCACACCCTCCTCAATAGGAAGATGTGGCGGTCTGCTTCTATAAAGGTTTAGATTTCAGCCTTGAACTCTGTGGGTCAGTTCCACGCTGTCCTATAGCGTCACTCTCAATAGGAATCAACTTGATAACAAGTTTGCTTTTTAGGTTTTCCTGCAGAGGTGTGTTCAGCCCGTTCTCCCCTCCCCCACCCCTGCACTGGTACTCTTCACTGTAGTTTTGTTTTTAAGGTTTGTTGGGGCATCTCAGTGCTATGGATGGTGAAGGAGGGGAGAGTCTTAGAGGTGAGGAGCAGAAATGTGACTGGAAGGAGTGAGCTGGTACAAGGCCTGTTGGCTATGCCTCTTAGCCAGATCTGGCGCCTAGAAGTGGTCATGTACAGGAGTGAAGCAGCCCCCAAGCTGATGGGATGTACAAGTGGTGGAGATCCAGGCTGGACCCGCAAGTCTGAGTTATGCAGTTTTTCCTCACCCTGTATCCTCTTTTCAGACTCTGTCCATGGCGTATCTTACTGGGATGCTGTCCAGGTAAAGGGAACAACAGGTGGGAGGGCTGTAGGCTGGGCTAGGAGTCAGGGACTGGCCACACGCTGAAGGAAGCTCTCCCCAGACTATCCCTCCTGAGGTTATCATCAGATGGGAGATGGGGGTGCATTGAGGTGGGGAAACACCAGCCCAGAGCCCTGTACATTCAGCCCTCAACTGTGTAGTAACTCTAGGATGCAGCCAAGGCAGTGGGGGATGGTGGAGAGCAAGACGATCTTTCACACTGCCAATTGAAAAATCCCACAGACTCATGGTCATGTAGTCACCTACAAACCATCTCCAGATGCCAGCAAAATCCCCTCACTTCCTCTCTGACACCTCATCCTTGTGTGACCTCTCCCACCTGTTAAAAATCTTACCGTGATTTTTAGTGCAAGTTTGCTGGGAAGGAGCCCCAGTGGAAAGGCTGGCAGTGCAGAAAGCACGGCGGAAGGAGGCTAGCTAGGGCCTGAGAGGGTGAGAGCAGGTCCTAGCAGAAGAGGAGTGGGTCTGTGAGGAGCCTGGGGTAGGCCTGTGAATGCTCCGGAGTTAACCCAGCCCTCGGCCTGACGGTCCCACAGTTACTATAACACCACATCTGTGCTGCTGTGCCTGGGAATCACGGCTCTTGTCTGCCTCTCAGTCACCATCTTCAGCTTCCAGACCAAGGTGAGTCCTGGGGCTTCGGGCAGTGACCCCTGACTTGAGGCCTGAGTAGAGTAAGGGGCTATAAGCCTAGATGAGAGGTAAGAGAGGGAAAGGGGTGAACCGGGTCTGGGCAGGCCACCTGGGAAGGGTGAGAGGAACAGGGGTTGTGAGGCTGAGCACAGGACCTTGGCCTGCTGGGCAGGCCTCAGCCTCTGGCCAGCACACTGCCAGGTTGGGACCCTCAGGAATGCCATGGCACTCTGTGCAGGCAGGTAGGGCCAGCCTCTGACACCATCTTGTCCCTGCAGTTTGACTTCACCTCCTGTGAGGGCGTCCTCTTCGTGCTGCTCATGACCCTCTTCTTCAGTGGACTTATTTTGGCCGTCCTGCTGCCCTTCCAATATGTGAGTCTCTGGGAAGCCCTGTGGACCCTGAGGGAAGAGGGAGAGACCCTGCTGGGTATGGATAGCCCTCCCTTCTATACCCCTAAGAAGGCCCTGAGCCAAAACCCCACAGCCTGCAGCCCTGTCTGGCCCCTCATGGCACCTGCCACAGGCGTGTTGGCAGTGTGGGCAGCCACAAAGTAAGCAAACAAGACGGCTTTTCTTGGCAGGCCCTGGCACCTGCCTGGCTCCACAAGCCACATCCGGCTTCACCTTTCCCATCCTCCTCTCTGAGTGGAGGTGAAGCTGAAGGAGGGCTACGAGCTTTTAAAGCCTGGGCTGAAGAAGAAAAACTCTGTGGGATCAATTGGGCCCCCAAAGGACCCCGAGAAGGCCAACTAGGGCTTTTAGGGGGAATCAGTCACTGTCAGAAGGCAGAACCTAGCAGGCTGACCAGGCAGGAAATGGTGCAGTGAGGACTCACATCGTCCCCTGTCCATTAGAGCACCCAAGGCCCTCTAAAGCTCTGCTCTTTTAATGTGTCCACTCTGCCCTGGGGAAATATAACAAGGACAGCCTGGGCTCAGTGACCCGTTCTGAGAGCCCCACGTCACTGCTTATGGGGATGGGGACAGATTAAGGATAAAACAGGAGGGGATTGAGGTTTGAGTCCTGGGGATTCCAAGAGGGAGCAAATGGGCTCCTGCCGGGCCTCGTGGGCAGAGCAGGGATCCCTCAGCTCACACTAGGCCCTCACTTTTAGCCACCCCTGGGAGCTGTGTTCCTCACCGCCTTTTCTGTGCCATCATACCCAGCCCCAGCCTCAGGGCATTTGGCTCCTAGTCCAGGACATCAGGATTGGTTTTGGCATTTCTTTGGCTCGTCCGAGGATCCTGTTGACAAAAGGAGGGGCCGGAGCTGGCCTGGGGGCCCTCTGTGTATCTAGAATAGGGAGGTGGCTACAGGAAGGGGCCCCCAAAGCTTCAAAGAAGCCTTTGTTAACCCAGATGAAGGGATGCTGGGGTTTCCAGGAATCTTCTGAAGGAGCATCCGGTGGAGGGCCTGGCTGCGGTGGCACCCCGCACAAAGCTATCAGAAACAGATGGATACCCTAGACCTGGGGATGGGGAACAGAAGAGGGCAAAGAGCACCGCTCTGGTGTTTGTGGATGATCATATAATGCACAGCTGGCAGGGACTGCACATGGCCCCTCCTGCCTCTGAGTTCCAGCCTTTGTTTCCTTCCATCTGAGCCTCTTGCCTCCACAGGTTGGGCCAGGTTGCTCTCCAACAGAGAGACAGACAGACAGACCCTCTATTAGACAAGGATGAGCATACACCAAGAGGTGGTGGGAGCAGCCCTTGGGGCAGAACCAGGCTGACAGGGTGAAGGCCCCAATGGAATAGGTTATCCTGTCTACCTCAGTCTGGAGCTGTGTGTTAGAAGTCCCTGCCATCCCTCTGTGATTTCTGTTATCCTGGAACTCCCCCAACCCACTATGAGCACAAAAAAGACCAAAGGACCTTCAGGATTTTTGTTTTGTGTTTTGTCATCAACAACCAGTTATTGTCAAGAATTTAGAGCCTCTTAAGAAGAGTTAGGGAGGACTGGATGGTAAAGATGGGCCATCACCTGGGCTCTCTGAGCAGAGCCCTCCCCCACTCCTCCTCAGCCCTGCAGCCCACAACCCCACAGGCTGTCCCTAACCCCACATTGTTTCTGCCCACAGGTTCCCTGGCTCCATGCTGTGTACGCAGTGCTGGGAGCAGGCGTGTTTACGTTGGTAAGTGTGGTCTATTCCCTGAGGGCTCTGCCTGCTCAATCTTCCAATTGTCTCCCCTCGTTCCCCCATCATCCTGTCTTCCTCATAGTCCTCCTCCATGGACCCTATTGAAGCACCTGTTCTGAGGGCTGGGCTCAGTGCCCATCCAGGGAATTTCATTTGGGCTCCGAGACAGATCAGCAGACCAGGTCATGGGATACAAGGTTGTTTGTAACTATAAGGTTGACACTATTTAGACAGACAGAGCTGGGCAAGAACATCTCCCTCCTGGGGAGAGTGAACACTGCTTGTTCAGTTAGGGGAGTAGGGGTGACTGTATGGACCAATAAAGTAGTCTCTTCTAGAGAAAATCTGGGAAAGTTCTTGGGGTACAGGAGTGTCCAGGTGTCCTGCGAGAGACACATTTAGATTGAGCTTTTTCTTGGTTATTCTCAGTCTTGGAACTGAGAATTGATGACGATAAGTATGATGATGAAAGTAAGAGTAATAGCTAATGTGTATTGTACAACTTTTCTCCCCTAGCAAACTCTCCACAGACATATACTCTTCATCATAAATCTATAAACTAGGTTCTGCTGTTATCATCCGGTCCCAGAGTGATGCAAACACTTAAATGCTTAGCTAGTAATCGAGAGGTGGGCAATTCAAACCCCTCCAGGGGTATTTGAAAGAAAAGGTCTGGCGATGTGCTTCAGACATGTCACAGCCATGAAAACCATATAGAGACAGTTGCGCTCTGCACATATGGGGTCTCTATAAATTGGAGTCAATTCAACAACTGGTTACCATCAAATTACAGGTAGGAAACTGGAGTGCAGAAACATTGAACTACTTGCCCAAGGTCATAGAACATCCTAAGAAGTGGTGGGGACAAATTAGGACGTGGACAGTGCTCTGAACTCCACTTGGGGTCTGAGGCCAGGTTGGGAAGTGCATGGTTGGACTGCGAACATCAATTCCCAGAGGACAGGAATGACCAATGACAGATTCCTACCTGTAGCAGCCCAGCTCAGGCCTTTTCCTCAGATAGGTCCCAGCAGTGTGATGTCATCTCGGGGAGGGTGGTGTGAAAAGAAGCATACATTTTAGTGAGAACAATAGTAAGACCCTCTTCTCTCTCTCTGACATGTTCTGCTCTGGCCAGAGTTCTGGCTTAGCCATGGGCTCTTGAAGCTTGTGGTTGACAAGCTGAAGGTGCAGAAATGAAGGGAAAAGATGAGGGGTCAGAACTGTGAACAAAAGTTTGAGGAGCTTGGTGAGAGATCAAGTCTGACATGGGAATATTGTAGGTCAATGCATTCATTAGTTGACTCTATAGGTCTTAATTGAACATTACTGTATGCCAGGTTCTGAGCTGTGGCTGGGAATGACAGTGTGTGACACCTAGTGGCACTCAGTAAATGTGAATGGAATGAGTAAATGACTACCGAGCTCAGAACTTGAGGCTTGGAAGGGACTGAAAGAGGATCATTAGTGAAACTCAAGCCCTAGAGAGGTTAAGTGATTTATCCAAGGTTTCCTAGAAAAGTGAGGGCCAACAAGCCAAATGTGGCATTAGTGAAGACTGGAGTGACAACCCATCCCGGGTTACCTGGGAATTTCTTGATTGTATCACTTCAACTCCCACTTCCTAACAAAGTCCTGGATTCTGGGGCAAACGGGGTGGTTGGTGACCCAGAGGCACTAGCTTCCGCAGCTCTAGGACCAGAGCTCTTTTTTTGTTTAGATGAAGCCATCACATGAAAAGTTTTCTTTAGGGTTGTTGTTGTTGTGCACTGTGAAGTCAGAACTAGCTCCAAGTTTACCCTTCAGAGGGCTTGCAGAGGCCATAAATCGCATGGGAAGAGATTGCCCATCTTTTTCCAGAAAAGCAGCTGGTGGATTTGAACTCTCTGCCTTGGAATTGCAACACAGCTTCTTACCACTAGGCCACTAGAGGGTGAGGAATTAGCTAGGAGGACTCAATGGGCAGTATGTGCCTGGAGACAGAAATGGGTCAAACTCGAGAAAGTGAGGCTGAAGAAGAGTAGGTGAAAGTGAGCATGGATGGAGATCATCAAAGGAGGCCTGGGAGTTTAACTGGCTTCATGCACATCAGGTCCCAGCGAGCTTGTGAGATCTGGAGGGAAGCTGCACATACAAGTGGGGTTAGACGAACAGTAATCCCTTAAATTTGCTTAATAATCCCTTGTATTATTAGGATAATAAAAATAATCCCAACCATCTGTTCCACCCGTCACATTGAATTTCTACCACAAGCGACGGAGGCAGAGCTGACTTTAGAAGACATGCTTCCTGCATGAGAAGCCCCAGGGCTTTCTGGCTGGCTCACAGCCCCATGGCTTCTGGCTCTGGGACAGACTCAGGATGGGGACTCAGGTGTCTTAGCCCAGCCTGGTGCCATCTTGGACCTCCCTGTGTCTTCTCTCAATGAGGAAAACTTTTATTGGCTTGGAGTTGGACTGAGGCTGGAGGGAGCAGGTCCCATCAGCAATTTGTCCTTTTTCTCTCATATCATCAATACTTCTTTCTGTTGTAATTTCTCCCATCAGAAAAAAAACACCCAGTAAAACTAGGGAGCACTCTTGACCCACACCCCCTTTACCTTCTGCTCCATTCAGACTCCTTAGAAGAGAATCTATTTTCAGTCTCTAATTCCTTTCCTCCTCCTCTTCCTTCCTCCTTTTTCTCTTCCAAGTCCCTCTCCTTCCATTCGCCTGAGAAATGCTTTCATCAAGATTACCAGTGGCCTCTGTGTTGCTAAGCTCAGTTGTCCGTCCTTAGTCCTCCCATTCGCTGACTCTCAGCAGCATTTGACACAATCGGCCCTCCTCCCAGCAGCACCATGTCTTCCCTGATCACGAGGCCTCAGATCCCAGACTTCTAAACGTTGCTGGTCTCTAGGGCCATAGAGTTTCTTCCACTCTCTCTCTCTCTCTCTGAGGAGTCTCAGTCAGTCTCATGGCTTTGAATATCTTTTTTTTTTTAACCAGTAACTCTAAAATTACTAGCCTCAATCTCTCCCTTGAATTTCTAACTAGAATTTTACTCTGCCTATTTATTCAGTATTCAAGGAGCCCTAGTGGTGCAGTGATTATGTTCTCAGCTGCTCCACAATAAGGGAATGTAGCAGTCTGCGTTCATAAAGATCATCAACTCTTTAAGTCACGATGAGTTATCTAATAACACTACTAATATCACATGTAAGTAAAATCTTGCTGAAGATTACTAAAAAAACTAGAATCATACATTGTTAGGGAGCTAACAGAAATTCAAGCTGGATTCAGAAGAGGCATGGAACAAGAGATATCATTGCTGAAGTAAGGTAAATGTATCTTGGCTGAAAACAGAGAATACCAGAAAGATGTTTACTTGTGTTGTGATTATGCAAAAGCATTTTATTATGTGGATCATAACAAATTATGACTAATTTTGAGAAGAATGGAATATCAGAACACTTAATTGTGCTCATCCAAAACCTATATGTGAGAACCAGTTGTCCAAATATAATAAGGGAACATGGAATGGTTTAAAATCAGGGCTGTATCCTTTCTTTATATCTATTCCATTTATATACTGAGAAAATCATTCAAGAAGCTGGACTCTGTGAAGAAGAATGTGGTGTCAGGATTGGAGGAAGACTCATTGTAAAGAGCAAGAACCACGTGGGGTAGCCATATCTGACCTTAACCAACTTCACAAAGGGGAACTGTCCCTGTCAACAGCATCAATAGCACAAAACCAATTCCCACAAGGTGAGACATGGTCCCCACACTCCTACACTTCTTTCTGCTCATATCAACATCAATCTTAATGCTTTACTGGGTCCAAAATCTTATGTGATAGTTCACAGACCACACAGAACCATATTGTGGAAATCAAAAGGTTATAATCCTGATTAGTAGCAGAATATAGTTAGAACAGCATCCTAAATGTGCTTACAGGCACCTCAGCCTTGAGTTTCATGGTTTTAGGCTAGTGTTACAAAGTTCTTAATCCTGCTAATATTGGTTCTTTTACCCCCTCAAGTTGTCAAACAAACTTGGGCAAAGGCTCTTAGCTCTCCTCTGGTTCTGTCCATGGGAGGCAGCAGTCCCAACATCTGCTTGTCTCATGTCAGGTCTCTGGTTCTCTGCTGTGGCTTCTCTGGCTGTTGCTCTGGAAAAACATTCTCTTGCTTGCTCTTCTTTGCTAGCAGTGAGGTTTCTTCCTTCTGCTGCTGGATCCACTCAATACAATGGCAAGACTAGCAATCCTCTTGTGGATGGGTGAGACAGCCAGTCTTCTTGTGAATAAGCTAATACGTTTTAGTCGCATATTCCCACCCATCCATGTGCTAAAGTCAAATTCAATAGCTAGGAAAGTAATTATGAACAGTAAACTCCACATTCATCACCAACCTGCATTATGCAGATGACATAACCTTGCTTGTGAAAGTAAAAAGAGTTGACACAGTTACAGAAGAAGATCAAAGACAACAGCCTTCAATATATTTTCTCAACATCAAGAAAACATCATAATGTTGCTATAAATTGTAGTCAATTTGATGGCACCTATAAACAGCAATAAGTTGAGCTGGAATCACCTCAGTTTAATGGCAGGGAGTTTGGTTTTGGTTTTTGAAGTCAGTATCCCTACTTGGAAGGCTAACTGACACCCAGACTTGACTGAGCTGCTGCTCTCTCCCTACCACCTGCACCTCCCATCACCTTTTCAATCTTTGGAATGGCAACGTCATTCTTCCAATCATTCTGGCCAAGTGCCTTGGTGACAGTTTCTATTTATCTCAGTTTCTCTCTCCTCATATCTGGTTCTTCATTCTATCTAGAATCTAACCACCCGCCTCTATCTTCTTGGCGACCCTCTGGCCCAAGTCACCATCAGCTTCCTTCTGGATGATTGCAGTGGCCTCCTTTTGGTGCTGTCTTTACTGTCTTTGCAGTGTGTCCTCCACACAGCAGCTGTAAAGTTCTTGCTAGATGTAAATTAGGTCAGTTCAT